GCCCACAGACTCACTCTGGCTGTTGTGACACAAAACTATACCAATCAATGTGTAGGTTTGGCTAAGCCTACTATCATCTGTCAAGGACACACCCACCATGACTCAAGGGCTTGCCATGGCCACTGATTTCTCTGTACCAGCGATAGTAACATATTGCCATCGCATGCACTTTACCATCCAGACTGAACAGTATTTTTCTTGCGTGGGGAATATTACATTTCTTCATGCGAGGAAAACATAATTTTGTTTACATTTGTGCGGCAAGGTCAAAAAAATTTTATGCATGGAAGATGATTTAAAAAAGAACTAAGTGTGCATGGAAAGTTACCCGAGAACTATATTTGTGCGGACAGAAATTGACCAAATAATTTTAGCGCAAAGAATGTGTTCCCCGCGCAGACCAAACTCTGCAGTCTGGTTTACCATAATATGAGCTTATAGGCTTCCCTCACAACTTATAATCAAACAATGAAACAGTCTAAGCTGTATTGTCTCTGAACATGTATGGTGGAGGTATGTTTGCCTTTGCCAGAGCACGGTTGGAAAGGAGGCCATATTGATCATGGGTCAGACGCTCATATTCAGACACACTCTGGACATCTTTACCAGAGAGCCAAACCAGCATCCCAGACTGCAAAAATTATTTGGTCAAATTCTGTCCGCGCAAATGTAGTTCTTGGGCAATTTTCCGCACACTTGTTTCATAATCCATCTGCAGATCCGCCGTGCAACTGGAGACAAAATGATGTTTCCCGCGCATGAAAAAATGGGTAATTTTCTATATTACCTTCGCCACACTGATATCAACGATTTTGGTATCGTTGGATTACTCTCACTGTCCACATTCCAAATATGTAGGTTTTTGTTGCGGAAATCCCCCCGCTAGCGGCAAACTTGGCCCCGATTGCAAGGGAGGGCATGGAAGGTTCTAGAGAAAATCGAGGTTAAATAACGCTAATAATATAACCCACAGTGAAAATAACCATGGTTATTCATGACTTTCCATTGCAGGGAAACAAAACCTCCACCACGTATTCCCGGCAGGCTAGAGCGTTACACAATTCTCGTTGATCGCGGAGCGGCGGACGCATTTACCTCGTCAGACCCAACATAGTGTCCAAGTTTGCCGCTAACAAGGGGTTTTCGCGCAATAAAACCTACATATTTGGATTGTACCGAGTGAGAGGAATCCAACGATACCAAAATCGTCAAAATTACTATATTACGTCCGCTGCTCTGACCGCCGCTCCGACATCGTCGCCCCCAATATAGTGCCCAAGTTTGCCGGGGGGTTTCCGTGCAATAAAACCTATATATTTGGAATGTGGACAGTGAGAGGAATCCAACGATACCAAAATCGTCGATATCGGTGTGGCGAAGGTAATATAAAAATTAAAAAATGTAATATTCCCACACAAGAAAAAAATCTAGCAGTCTGGCCAGCACCTTGCAACAGAGCCACTGGTGATTCGCTGACAGGCACGAGATGTTGGTCCAGCTCTCTATTAAGGTGATCCGAGGTATCTCTGAATAGGAGCGTTAGTCACAAGGGGATACAATCTCGGGTTCAAGAATTACAGCCAAAAATCAAAATCAGACGATAATCTGTCCTCCTCTCTTAAACCCACTCAATAACCGATGTGACCCGAATTCCTTACATCACATCCAATAAAAATCCATAAATCAAGATAAAAATAGCTATATTCTGTTAAATGTGGTATAACACCGAGTCTGCAATGCAATCCGAGAGTGACATCGAGATGAAATATTGCATTTTCGAGGAGTTCGCCTGGAGGTTGCGTTTGCCATCTTTTTCGTAAACAATGGGCAAAATTCAGCCAACGGGACTCACTTGATCTTCTTTTATACCTTTTATGAATATCCACTAGAGGGACGAGAATAAGAGATCGATTAATGAATGAAACACCTAAAAATACTTACAGTTTTTGGAAAGCGCTCGGAGTGTGAGCAGAGCCGCCATGTTGATCCAGCTGTTACGTTGAGGACAACGAACGTATCTTTTCGTTAATTGCTCAAATATCTACTTTCTTTAACGACGAAAGATTGCTACTATTTTATCAATATTTCAAATTAATATGATTTTCTATGTCAAATATCCTCTGAATAGATATTAGATTTTTCCTTGTACTTAGGATTTAAGAAATTGTAAAGGGATACCAATGTAAAGATATTTTATGATCGCCATAAATTATTTTTTCAATTTGTGCGTTTGGCATATACCGGAAGGCTGACGTTGGGTGGCAATTCAGCGATCATAGAGATAAATAACTGGACAATGTAATTAGGAATCATGACAGAAAACATACGTTTACGATAACATAAATTCTGACTAAATTTATTACTATCAATATGATAGATACAATACCTTTGCACATGTATTTGTATACATTTATACATACATACATGCATATATATATATATATATATATATATATATAATATATATATATATATATATATATATATATATATATATATA